TATGGACCATGGTTCTGTGTCTTTAATAAAGTTTTAAGTCCCATACGGTATTAAAGAAAATAAAAAATCTGAAGTGCAATACTTCATTTTACCATGAAATACAAGACGGTGTAACAGAAAGTACATTAACTGTGCATGAGACATTCAGTTCTTTTTTTTTCCTTAAGGTTTTGGAAGATTCAGTTCTTTGAAAATATCTGGGACAGGAGGATGTGACATGTCTGAGCCAGTTGTTCTCAATAGTTCAATAACCCTCTCATGTGTGTCCACATCTGCAGGTGCTGCCAGAGCGGACACCTGCACTGTGACCGGCCCCACCATCATTGACTTTAAAAGTCAGCTCAGTAATGTGACTGACAGGTGTGTGTACTCTGTGATGAAGGATTCCTCAAACGGGTTTGAAGTGTTTGCCAACTTCCGGGAGCGGCGCCGTAGAGACGTGAGCTTTGTGGACAGCGTGACTCTGACAGTTGATTCAGGCGATACCGTCATCCTGGAACAAGGAGGCAGAGTTCTGGTAAGTTACGTCCTTGGACAAGGGTTTGACCTGCATGTTCAACGCTGTCATATCTGGGATTTTAGTAACTTTCCTCAAATTTTTTCCTTCTATTTCATGCAGTTGAACAACACATTGCTGACCCTGAATGGTTCAGCCCAACAGATTAATGGAGTCCAGCTTTCCGAGGATCAAACTGGAGTCACTGCACAGTTTACACTCACCAGTCAAAGCATTTCTGTGTTCTTTGATGGCTACACAGCACAGGTTCACACACAAGGCAAGAAAACTCTAAACTACATCCTGTTCTTTTGTGACCAGATGTATTTAAGAGTTGTTTTTTCTGATCTTTTCGTTTAGCTCCTGTTAACTCAGCTGTGACCGGCCTGTGTGTTGACTCCAGCAGTACCTCAAGTGCAAGGTTTCCTCAGTCCAGCTCTCTCAGGTAGAACAAGCCCAGACTCCTGCTAGCCATGTTTCATTGAGTTATTTTACACAAATTTTGAAGTATTGCATTAAAAAGGCAAGATTCTAAAAATTGTCCTCAATTTCGCAAAAATGTTTTTACGCTTGCTTGAGGTGGATTATGAATTTTATGAAAAAGGGGGATGGAAACATGTTTGCCGAACAAGTTTGGATTTAGTGAACATTTACAGTACATCACATGATTTATCAGTTATTCCCGCTGTCGGCGTCTTTCCGGATATTCCCATAATGCAGGAAACATGGCTGGAAGCAGCGGCAGGTCCGGACAGCATGTAACATCTCCAATACAAGTTGTTATGACAGAACAATAACACATTCCTGAAAATGTCTCTCCATACTCAGTGGTCTCTGTTAGTTTACAACCTCTACTTCCTGTTTACTACAGCCATGCATAACGTCAACATCTGAAGTAAATACACTTTGTGTAGCCTGGTTGATTCGCTCTAAGCCAGTAGATGGAAACATACTTAATTTGCATTTCTTTTTTTTCAACATTTTAAAATATTGCTCAAAATTCACATTACAATTGGATGTAAACGTGGCTATTGACTAATGCTCTGCTACAAACCTACTACGACAGACCAGTTCCACTTCAGTTGTGTATTTTGAACAATCCAGAGGTTCTTAACTTGTGGTGTTTGTCGCCATCTAGTTGTGAGACTCAGTACACAGACAGTCCTGACAGTACAATCGACTGCACCGCAGTGGCTGAAAGGTTAGTAAATTCATCAACATTGCATTAAATATCTCATGGTGTTATTTTATATTTTAAAAAGTTAACTGAACGAAAATGAACTGAAATTTTAAAGTGATTTCCCATGTTTTGTTTTTTCATCTGTAAAATAGATGTAACATTCTAAGAACTGCACCCTTCGCCTCCTGCAATGCCATCATTGACCCGACACCCTACATCAACGCCTGCACAGAAGCCTTGTGCAGATATCCTGCAGTGGACGGGCTCAAGTGTCAGTTCCAGTGGGCCTACGCCAGAGCCTGCAGCCTGAACAGCAGCACCACAGCGGTGGACTGGGGGACTGTCACAGAGTGCTGTAAGACCTAAACATTATCAGCAGGGTTTTTTTTTATACGCCACACATCTTCTTAAAAATAAATAAATCTTGATGTTGTGTAGCTCCACCTCAGGCCTTTTGTCAAGACAAAACCTGCAGTGACCATGAGTTCTGTGGAGATACGTTGACTGGGGAACAGGGCTGCCTCTGCAGAGCTGTGTTTGCCCAACATTACAAAGACTCCAACACTTTGGGTATGACATTTTAAATAATTACATAACAAGGCAGAAATTCTAAATAAATATAAATATATAGTTAAGTTGAAATTTAGCAATTGAGCTAATTCTGGCGCTTTTATGTTACTGTGCAATGCATTCATGTGCACTGTCCCTCTAAATAAATGCTTTAAATCCTAGGAAATCCAATAGACTGCAAGCAGAACTCTGTTTCAATCACTCTTCTTGGTTGTCTGATGGAGGAAAGAGGCATCGACTACACCGTCCTACACCTCAACAATCAGAGCTGCAGGGGGATGATGGACCAGGAGACCCACATGGTGACTTTCAGCTTTGACACCAACAACACCTGTGGGGCAGAGGTCACAGTGAGTTCTCCCTCTGCTGAACTTTTACAGCAAAATATATCGAACGCAACACAAAATTGTATGGTTAATGAGGTTTTTCAGGTCCAACCTATGTATGTGTGATCCTCCAGACTAATGGAAGCCAAACAACCTACAAGAACACCATCATGACCCAGAACAGCTCTGATGTCATCACTTACTACGACCAAGTGTACATTGACTTCTCCTGCTACCAAAGTCAACCTGAGATGAAGCTTGTGGCCTTCAGAATCAAAGACAGGTGCATGTTTATTGTTTTAGCCATGATGAAGAATGTGTTGGCGCGTTTGTGAGTCCCAGATACTAAAACACGTTGATGTGGTTGTTCAGCTCTGTGGTCCAGCACATCACTTCTGCAGACTTTAACTACACTGTGACCATGAAGGCCTACAGCGACGCTGGACGCACACAGAGTTTGGATTCAAACACGGATGTGTCGCTCAACCAGAAGATCTGGGTGGAGCTGAAAACCAGTGGACTGGATGCAAATATGATCGCCGTTGTGACAGACTCATGCTGGGCAACCAGTCAGAGCTCGCCCAGAAGCGCTCCAAGATACGACTTGGTCAAAAATGGGTAAGAAAATGTTCTGGTATCCACTCACAGCGTCTTCCTAGAATTCTTGCGATGTGTTTTCCATTGCTCTTACCATAAACTGGGCCTCATGCAAGAACCTTTCGTACGAACAGATTTGTTCTTTAGTTGTGCGTACGAGTGATTTAGGTGAATTTGTGGCATTCACCAATTTTCTTGTATCCTAAGATTTTTTTTTTTTCAGATACAAACAAAATTCACGAGTGGTCCAGACCTGTCATATATTTTACGTGCAGTCTGTTGTTATCTAGACGGATTTTCTTCATTAATAACTTTATATTTCATTAGTTTGAAGATATTTTTAGTTGAAAATAAATCACACTCTATGACTATGTTGACAATAGGCAGTTCTATTTGAATTAGTTATAATTTTAAATGTAATAATTTAGACTAACGATATAAATTGTTTAAATTAAAAATAAATTGGCTATTAATGCTGTTGTATAACACTACAATATTAATATAAACATAACTAAAAACCAACTTAAATCATGCATTAATTGAAGTTTAATTTGTCTCGGTATATAATTAGCTTGACAGATTGTTATTTTTTATGTTTTTTTTTTAGATTTATTCAGCACACCAGCTATGCTATTTTCTACAAAGTCTCCATCTCCATCTTCTTCCTCTTATCTGTAGTTGGGTCGCGAAGGGAACAGGTCCTGGAGAGAGACCCAGACATCCCTCTCCTGAGCGACACTTTCCAGCTCGTCCTGGGGGGATACATAATCCCTCCAGCGAGTCCTGGATTTTCTCCAAAGTACCAGACATATTTTGAAAACATTTTAAAATGCTTATTTCAGAACCACATCTGACACCACTTGCGACTGCGCGGGGGTGGGGGGTACGGTGCTCGACGGTGTGGCTTCTGAATAAATGAAAATGATTTAACACAGTTGTTTATACTTTTAGCAGCTCCTTTTATTCCACAGCTGACCTGATAAAAATGACAGATTTTCTTTGCTGGATGTCTGAGAGGAGGACTTCAATCTCCGAACTCGTAAAGTTCTTTTTACTTTGTGATGTCATTTTTAATGAACGAACACTTCCGGCCTTTCCCAATCAGTTGCTACTCCCTCGCCCTACTCACTATCAGTGTTGCCAGGTGGGAAATGTTGAATTATCGTATCAGCAGCTCAAAATTATCGTATTTTCAGGAAAATTATCGTACACACCCAAACTGCATTCTAGAGAGGCTCAAAATTACAAATACATCCTGCTCAGCTCACAATGTGCTCTAAATTCAACAAACTGCACATTCCTTTGTTTATAATAAAGTTAAAAAGTACTGTTGGATGTCT